TAAGTATGTATATATATATATATATATATATATATACCGGTTATTGGACACAGTAGATAGTCCAATATGACTTTCCGCTAAAATAAAAGCAGCCTGACCATTTAAAATAAAATGAAAGATCGTAGAATACTCGTACAATATGGTTTTAAGGTTACATACACATGACATGGTGTTTTATCTTATTGAGTTGCCTCTCACACTTATGAAACAGTTTCATTGTATTTTGAAAATGATATTTCTTTTAACCACCAGGTGTCACGACATATGCCGCTCAGCATGAGTGGGGTTATCATGGAGAAAGTGGTAAGTTTATAATTTGTTAAAAATTGAAAGTTGTTATTGCATTAGGTATCTGAAGTAGTAGAAGTTCGATGTGGTTTAATAGCAAAAAACAATTAAAAAAACATTCAAAGGTAATTTCTTTTAGGCTTTTCAAAATGATGATTTCTCTAGAAATAATTTATGCATTATTAACCAATGGTGGTAGAATAAGAGACGATAGACGACAATATTCTTATTCACATTCCTAACATATTAATGACATTCAAATAATAAAGTAACATAAGAGTTAATTAAAAGGACTCGTCCGAACCCATACATATGACACATACTAACTAGTTTTTAATCTGAATGATACATTTTTATTAAAGTAATTAAGAAACAAAGCGACATATCGGTACATACTTCTTCGTAATTAGAGATGATTTTGTGATAACCTTAAAGAAATAATTAAAAAAAAACACCATTTAATTAATCCTTCGCTCATGACGATTGAAAACTGAAATGAAGTAAAACAAATCACTGAACCACGTAATATGAACAGTTGAGTCAAGCTGAGTTAAACTAAAACATCTCTTTAGAAAACCCTTGTCAAACATTCTTGAAGTTGTTATTATTTTTCTTATATTTTTTGCAACACTTATTCCAATGAGGATTTAATCGTCTTGAAATGTTAGTAAAAACACACTTGTTATTGTTAGTTTTAGAATTATTCACTTTAGTTGTATTTTTGAAGCAAAGGAAAAAACTGTATTTTATGCTATGTTAATATGGTGTAATATTTGCTAAATATAAATGGAAAACATCCATAAAGTATGAGAAACCATAAAAAAGTTTTATTATAACATATCACAACAATTGTTTCCAATAGGACAGATATTTCATATCATAGCTTTCCTTCACGGTTAAGCAAGCTTACTGTTAAACAGGGGAGGGAAATAACTACCCTCAAACTTTTAAGCATGGAATACAGAAAACACAGTTGACTTTTGGAAGTGCTTACAGGAATATGTAAAGCTAAATGGAGCACAATTTTGAAGGGAAACATTCGGTGTTCTCCATAAAAGCTTAGGAGGGTACGTGAAGATATGGTTAGGAAAGAGAACCATCAGACCCATAAATTACACTCCGGTGAAACTGAACACATCTCTTGATACCGTCAGCAAGATAATAAACAAGGATTTAAGTTTCACAAGCTAAACATTTACAATCTTCTAGCCGCATCTCGAAATCAATGGCTGTTTTATTTAATGAGAGACTAACCATAAACAGAGGAAACTCGTTCAACCACATACTAGTGAAGGCGCCCGTGGCCTCGGAGAGTCTGGGGAAAGATATATGGTCTACAGTGGATGAAAGTATAAGCTAATTTATCAGAATTCGGGAGTTAAAATGCCCAATATACAATAAAAATTCCCTCCCAAGTTTTCTAACAAAATGAAAATTCCGTTCATATACACTATTTTCTTCTGATACCTCTTGTGTGTGCTAGATCTTTTCTATCGTGTAGAAATGTATATTTAATTAATAACTAATAACCTTTAACTTTAGCTGCGAAGCATATTTAAACTAGATAATGAAGACTAAGGAGTTGTCTTTGTTAATTTAATGATATTGTAGAAAAATACAGCCATTTATCTCCCATACATTTCGCCATAAACAAACGATGAAAGAGCCAATGTTTTATCAACCGTTCCACCATACTTGCGTACATTAATTCAGTAATTCAGTTACTGATATTTAAGTATTTCGTTACCAGAAATGATTAAAATTTACCAAAGATTTACATTTTCATATACTCAAATCGATTTTAAACATTTGCGGGGCTCCAGTTTCTTTCCCTTGGAGGGGGGGGGGAGGCAGTGGAGCTTTTGTGGAAGCCACCATACAGTGATATGGATTTACACGAAAGGTCATGTAAGCAAACACATTTATTCCACCCAAATTAACTCTTCTTAGCGGTTTAAAAAATTATAAGATTTTTTTAAACCGCTTGGGAGAACTAACTTGGGTGGGTAATGGTGAAATTTGGGGAAGCATTGAAGCATGACCCACCACAGCATCCCCCTAGCACCGGCCCTGAAATGTAAGTAATACATATTCGTGCCATGGAAAAGAAAGCTTAAAGGTTGGATGTTGAACTACCTAGGGATGGTTAGTGTTCCTCTAGTTTCTTTCTATGTGAACTTAAACACTGAAATAGTACCCTTCTCTGCTATATAAAGAATATTCAGTATGAAGTCACTGTTAAAAGTGGCTGAATTTTTCTTTAGCGTGCAGTGTTCGTGGGCTAATTTTATACCATTAACACAATTCTTCCCGTACTCCTTTTCATTTATCTTCGTTGTTCATGAACAACCCTAGATGGCGCCAGACTATGTATAATTATCGGTACATGTTCAGTAATTTAAGAGACGTTTGGGTAGTTAAGATGAATTTAACTGCATCCTCCTCCCTTTTGTTTATCGCGATTTCCTTAATTATTCACTATGAGAAACTTCAATTTCACTGATTATACTCATTAAGGCTCATTTATTGTACCGATAACTATGTTCTAGTCAACATTTAACATTTGCCACGTTTATTGGCATATCAAAACTTCAATTGTTTTATTAATGCGTAACATTTATCATATTCTAAAGAACGAGAACAAAATTTGCTCTATAAAAATCTTAAGTGGACCCCTAATAAAGCTTCGAATAGCTTAACCTTGAATGTTTCTAGCATATGGCACACGGAGTAGCAAAGAGTGTTTGTAATGTTATCCTTTGACCATGGTTTTGGGAGTTTAACTTAACTATATGTTAGTTTGCTTGTGTTGGGAACAAACGCATTTATTCACTTGTGTTGAAGTGATGTTAGTTTCTTATCTTCAGTAAAAAAATATGTTCGTCCATTTGCATATCTTCTGTTGATTTATAAGAATTATTTCTACTCGTATTTTTCTCTGTTCTTACTAAGATGTATTCAAGATGATAGAATTTTAAATGTAATTAATGATATTTTATACAAAACTATGATTATAGCATTTTACCATATCTCTTTATTCTCCGTTTTTTTATTTAAAGTATCGGGTTAGCCTAAATTTTTAACTACCATTTTTATATGTACGTATACATATATAATGGAAATTATATAAAGTAATATGTCGTTTGAATATTTATGTGCACATGTTTGTTGTTCTAACACGTTGGTCTTGTACTTGTTGAAGTATAACACCAGTAGTAAAAGTTAAAGGTGATGAAACCTGTGCAGAAGTAAGAGTTATTTACTGATAGGGTAAGTGTTGAACTTTTGGGTTTTACTTATACTTGTGTGGTCTGTAGCCCAAGAGACCTCGTGTATTATCAAGAGTTATTGAAACAATTTGGGTAGGACTAAATCACTGTACTTTTTGATTTTTATATGATTTTTTAAAAACTTTCTATATTTATTAATCTTTGTGTATTAACTGATCAGGACCTGACCACTGGTCTGCTGCCTCTGGGATCTGTGAGTTAAACAAGCAGTCACCCATCAATATTGAGAAAAAGAAGGCAAAAATGAACAGTCAACTGGGAAAAATCTCTTTTATGGGGTATGACAGACCGCTACAAGGAGCCACGATTAAAAACAACGGACACACTGGTAAGCTTTATTTGTGTGTACACGCGCGCGTATGTCAAAGCTCATTATAAAGAAATGTGTAATATATAAATGCATTTTAAAACTTTTATAGGGCTTCATTTGACATATAAACTAGTTCGTTTGATTTATTTCTAAAGATAGTCACTCGATTATAAATATTTTTAACATAGGTATATAAACATATACACCTTGAGTTTTGCCTGTGTAGAGCAAATACAGAATACAGATCACTAGTTGCAGAGTGGGGAGACTAATATAGATTTGGGATAGATAGGAATCTAAAGAAATCTATCATATCTAATTTATTTTTGTAAGCCTCACAGATTTTTTAAACTTTAACTTAGGAGAAGGTGTGGACGACTCAACATACATAAACTACCATTCACTACTTGCAATTAGGTTTGGGAAGGTAGTCATTCCCAATGAATCATGAAAGTGGAAACAATATTGATTATTGAAAATAGCCCCTTAGAGCTAACCAGCAAAATTTCCATCTGAAGTTAGCATTACACCCTCATAATGATTAAACAAAACCTTAAATAACAATGATATAATACACATAATTTCATCAAAATAGTACAGCACCCAACATCCACCATTGCAAACAAATTACTAAGAAGTATCGTATTACGTTTTTTTCTTCCATATAGAAACAGTTTAATTCTTGTATAATCTTGTGCTTTAATTTAAAAGTTTACCTTTTTTTTCTTGTTTTTTTAAATTAATTAGTTTTCCATAAAATTACATTTAATTATATATATATATAGTTTTTCACAAAAAAGGCATTTTTACATGAAAAGTAATTCTTGTTATATATCACAACACGTTTTGACAGCACAACTTGATATAAAAGGAGACGAAAGGCCAACAATCAAAGCTGGCGGCTTGGGGAACATGTATAAGTTCCTTCAGCTTCACTTCCATTGGGGTAAAAGTGATGATAGGGGATCAGAACACACTGTGAATGGAAAACGATATCCTTTAGAGGTAACTATAACTTGTAGTTTAACGTTGATGTTTAGGTGTTTTGTTGAAGTAAGGCGTAAGAGGCACGTTATTCAAATTAGATAGGATGTCCTGATGCGGAAGCGAGATATGGGAAGAAGCACACAAAGAAATGATACTTTTCCTTAAATATAAGACTTACATTTATGACTGTTGAATTTCACTGAAAGTAGAGAAACTTGCTCTTCTCTTGAAGAAATAATACATAGATGTACGATTTTTGCAAAATTTGAACTTTTAATAAAAGAAAATAATCAATAGCGCTAGTTTCACACTTTATAAGAACAAATTGTGTTGCTGCAGATGTGAGTTACAAACATTTTAGGTGATATGTTTGATTCACGGCGAATTATTGGCCATTTGGTAGTGCAATACCACAATGTATAGACGTTTGACTGGAAGGATATGTCACAGCCCTTTTCAATGAAGAATATTTGTATAACAAAATTGTTCAACGATGTAGAGCCAAAGTGAATAACATTTAGAAGGAAGAAGCCTTCAGAGGTTCTTAGTGGAAGTGGAAAAACTCGCACAACAAAGTGTTTAGCAAGTAACAGACTGAAATCATACCTCAAACAAATGGGGAAAAACACCCCCATAGTCATGGTTAAGAAGAACACCCACCCCTCTGAAAAGCCATTGTGAAGAAGCTAGGCATATACCATGGTACAATTAGCAAAGTGATAGATAAAGACCTGAGTTGATAAAGACTTTTAGGCCACATGAGAAAGATGGCTGAAGAACTTGAATCCCAGCAATCCCATGTGACCACACTCTTGTCAAGCTTCAATGCATCTCTAAAGAACTATTATGGTCTTAGCCATGGTCTTGGAAATCGCATACAGTGGAGGAGTGGCGGGTCTGTAGAATGTTTGCCAATTTGTGTGTTCTAAGACTGACCTTGCTGTGGTGTCAGGCAATAGTGTACAAATATCATCAGCAGATTCAACACAGTCGATGAACTATTTCTAAGGGCAGCGCGAGAAATAGAACATCGTAAGATTAAGCTTCCGTATAGTGTGGCTAGTGTTAAAAATGGCGTTCTATTAGAGAGTTTGTTTTGTTTGTTTTGAATTTCGCGCAAAGCTACACGAGGGCTATCTGCGCTAGCCGTCCCTAATTTAGCAGTGTAAGACTAGAGGGAAAGCAGCTAGTCATCACCACCCACCGCCAACTCTTGGGCTACTCTTTTACCAACGAATAGTGGGATTGACCCCCACGGCTGAAAGGGCGAGCATGTTTGGTGTGACGGGGATTCGAACCTGCGACCCGCGGATTACGAGTCGAGTGCCTTAACCACCTGGCCTCTATTAGAGAGAGAATGGGAGTCTATTCTAGAATTATATATAGATTTTATCTTAGAACTTGGATGGTACTGTGGAAGCAAGATATAAATATATTTGTCATTTTTCTGTTAAAATAATGTGGACGTATTCTGTTTAGTCGAAATGTGCAGAATTGACAGTGATTTGTTCCATACAAATGTAGTATAAAATTTCTTATTGAACTTAATATCTTCACAGATTATCTAAAGTAGTATTCAAGAAGCTTGTTATATTCATTAAACTCTAGAGATGCCGTGTCAATAAAGAGCAAATACTATTGACAAAACCATGAATGTATGACCAGTTATCAATTGCACCAAAAACAAACAAACAACTAAATGAACGTGTGGTGACAGTTTTGTATGCTAAGCATTACATAATAAGTGTTAGATTTTATATGAAGAATTCGGTTCGAAATATTAAAGAGGTTTATTTTAAGCTTAAGTTCTAACATTACACTAGCTAGGTTGTTTGTTGATTAAATGTTTGTGTTTTGCAGATGCATCTGGTACACTACAACAGTAAATATGATCCTTCAGATGCTATCAACCACAATGATGGACTGGCTGTTCTTGGAGTCCTCTTTACGGCAAGGATGTGGCTTTAAAAGTTTATACTTATAACTTTAACATTAAACTATCATCACCTTTTCGGCTGAAACAACTATTCAAAAACGTTTAGAGGATGTTTAGAAAACGTTCCTCTCGTATATAGGATCTCAAATTATCAGCATTTTGATATGTTCTTAGCTGACTGATTGTTTGTAATTAAGCACGAAGCTACACAATGGGCTATCTGTGCTCTGACCACCATGGGTATCGAAACCAGGATTCTAGCGTTGTAAGTCCGCAGACACACCACTGTGCCACTGGGGAGGCTATTAGTTGACATTTATTGCAATATCAACAAAATTGAACAAGAAAAATGATATAGTAATATCTTATTTTCCCCATCATAGCTCCCAGGAGAGCAAAAATTCTACATCTTTTTAAATGTCACATTGTATCAAAGGGATTTTAACGACAGAGTTCAGTTGTTATTCAAATATGCAAATCAAAAGACTGAAAGATTACTCCTCTTATAGTTTTCAGTATAATTTCATCCCTTTATGTAAAAATACTTCACGGGTCACGTACATATCCAAAAATGGGAACTCTTTCTACTAGGGTTTATTAAAAACACACTGATTGGCCACTTAATTAGGAACCTTACCTAGTATCGGACTAAATGGCTTTTATTGCAGTAACAGCTTAGATTCAGCGTGTAAGAGTCCTGCAATATGCTTACATTTTATATCAATTGTCCAACAGCATGGACAGAAATTACTTGTCAGAACAGGAAATAAAGGCGAGTGTGACATTTGAGTTTCTTCCAAAATTGTTCCGTTGAACTGAGATCTAGTAATTAAACTAGTTAAAGAATAGGTTATTTGATGTAATGCTCTTTGAAAAAGTTTTTGGCAACACAACCATTGTGAATTGTTTCAATAACATATTGAAAGAACAGTGTTGTAATCCAGTATTACAGGGTTGTACCGATCAATAACAACGTTCAGAAACACTGAATGTTGTTCACGCTTCCAAAGGAATAAAATAACACCTTCCACGTCACAAAAACATTTCCCTACAGCGCCGTAGGATCCTGAATTGTTGAAAAGATATGTTTCATGTGGTTTTCTCCATAGTTTTACATTACGATCTTCACTGAAATCCCACAGTCAACATTTATTACGCTTAGCACCATCTAAATCCTGTCAGTCAGGTTTTTGATGATGTATGTAATAAAGTCCTATTACCGTCAAACATAATTAAATCCTGATCACTTTTGATTAAACCTATTAACTGGGTCACCGTTTATTGTATGTTTTACTTGGCAAGTTTGTTCAACTATATTTTCCCCTCTGTTAGTTACCAACGGTTGGCAGCTACAGTTTCCCCTCTTGATGGACTCCGGCTGGACACAGGGATAATCTTTAATAACGTTACTTCTTTTAGCCCATATCATGTCCTCTTTTAAGGTCCTACAAAATCGAGCTTTTGCTCATTGCAAATTAACTGTAATATGGCTAAATGTCTGCACTTTTATGGCTCAAACTGTAACGTGATCAGCCTCTTTTGCATATACAAATATTTACAATGTTTGTTGCGTGTGAAAGGATAAAATTCTGCCGCTGCAGACCGGAACTTAGTACCAGTTCTATTTGGATTTTCAAGTGGGATATCCCCCTTTTTTTTTAAAGCTGGAACAGAGTCCCATTATATTTTATTTCTTGGTTGTTCAATATAAAATATACAGAAGAGGTACCGTTAATTTATACATTACGAGGCCTGTTCCTGGCAATGGTGAGTACCTCTACTTTTTAAAGAAGATTTCACAACTGCAGGGTGTCCTAAAAAGTGGCCAGACAGTGCATTTAATAATATTCCTGAGGTCATCTACCTATCCCAATATGGGTAAGTTTTTCACCAACAGCTTTTAATGGAACTTGATCAAGATGTTAAGAATACTTCAGATACAAATATCTTCCTCCTGCAGTTGTCAGAAACTTTTAAATTTTTTATTTTATTTTTTGATACAGTGATGATCTAAGAATCTCAACTGAAGGGTCGCTTTCCTTCCATTCTGATAAAATTCTCATATAAAATCATTTAAAGTATCACACGCAACGTGGTTGCTTATTCAACTGTTCTGAATAATGACAACATTCACTCGCGATTAACAAAATAACGTTAAGTAATTTACATTAGTAAATCTACCGAAGTTTATTGTGTCTATTAAACACTTGTTTCAAAGCTCTCTGTGTTCTCATTTAAGTTTCAAGTTAATAGAAAAATTGCAATGTAATCATAAATGCTTACAAATATCATATACTACACTATCAGTAAATAAATAAATTGTGTATTTTGTTTGTTGTTAAATACAGAGCTAAACAATGGGTATTCTCATCCATATATTCTTTTCTACTCTAATATAACATGCTATTTTTAAAATGCTTTAAATATATTTTAATTGAATATTAAGGTACTCTTCGTTGAAATAAGTTAATGGAACATTTAGAATATATTTATAATTAGTGTCTACAAGTTATTTGTAATATTTTAAGCCTGTAATCTATTTTTAGAAATAACCGTGTTTCATAACTCTGGCCACATAAGTAATTCTAAATCATTTTCTCTCTTAATTTGCCAACAGGTCTCTGATGACGATAATCCAAACTTTTCAACTATTATTGACAAGTTGTCAAACATTCAGTACAAAGACTCTAAAGTCAACCTTGATAAAGAATTAAAACTGGAGTCGTTACTTCCGAATACATTCCCTTACTTCCGGTACTCAGGCTCTCTAACCACGCCCCCTTGCAGCGAGGTGGTTACGTGGACTGTGTTTGCTGATACTGTTCATATTAGTAGGTCTCAGGTAAGAAACTAGACAAAACAATCGTATTTTATTCTATAGTTTACTACGTTCTCTACTGTGGTGCTATTAGAGAAAAGAGAAATTTCATATGAATATGTTTTTTTTAGAATAAGAAATCACTGCAAACAATAACTATTATTTTTGCTTCTGTTAATTGTCCGTTTTGTTTATTTAATTTTCTGTAGTTGGAACAGTTTCGTAATATGAAGGAAGGCATGGCGAATAAGGACTCAATGTCACTTGTAGACAATTTCCGTCCAATCCAGGCGCTCAATCAACGTTCAGTTCAGATTGCTACCGAGTCTGGCAGGCATGATGACAAACACGGCGGCAGTAACAAGGACAATAACGCAGGGCCTTATCATTTCCCCTCTCTTCTTGCTACTATAGTAACGTGTTCGGTAACCCTATTATATACATTGAAGTAGAGCACGGTTACGTTTAGATGCATCACACTTGCTCACAAATAGTTGTAACGATTATCCGTTTCAAATCAATGTAAACATTTCGCTAATGTTTTCTTCTAGAGTAGATTATGGTTTGATCTGCCTCTATTAACACTTTCTGTGGTCATGCACAGTATTGAGATATTAACCTAACAATTAATGTATATATAAAAACAATGTATGAAAAACTGACCTCACAAAATTAAATTCTAAGCTATCCAAATGAACAAAAATTTTATTCCAAGTACTTTAGAAAAAATTAAAAAAACAATTTCAGTTATTATAATGTTTTTCTATAAAGCTGTTATTTTCTAATAAGTAGAATAAGAATGTCCCCAATAATTCAGTTATTAAAATGTGTTATGCATCTTTCAAAATCAAATTTGATTGAGAAAAATGAATTTTTGTCACTTATTGATATCTACTGCGCATGCTCCCAGTAAGTGCACGATTTTCGTTTTTATTGTTTGTACTTACAATATTAATAGTTATTCCTATTCCCATAATTGTGTTACCAAATATTACATCCCTAAGTAGTTTTATCCATTTGAATTAGTAAACCATGTTAATTCCGTGCCACCATGCACAAAACTCACAAAAACTGGTTATAAGACTTTAAATAATACTTACATTTCTTCTTCTGTAATTCACAGGTAACATATATACAGCCTTTTAGCCAAGAATAATTATAGTAAGCCATGTTAAGCCTACTTTCATTGGTTCAAAAGACGTAGTAGCATTTTAGTGGTACTTCTAAAGTTAGGACTTTTTAGACTTCTTAAATGCATAATTCTACATACGCTTCTAAAGTATATTTAACCGGTGATACATATATAAGTAGAATCTCAATTAACCACGAAATATACAAAAGTAACTATTGTGTGATAAATATATAATTTATGTAACTTGATCAAGTGTTTAAGGTATTCGCTAATATAGTAATGTCTATTTGGAAGAAATGTAATTGTTTGTAGTTTACTTGTAAATTATGTAATTAACTAAACGAAAAATAATATCAGCTATGTTAATTCAGATTGTTTTAGTCATCACAGCTTTGTATTCTCATCATTATTTTGGTATAAGTTTCAGTATGGTAGTTCAACTTTGTTGCTCATTTTGTATTGGATATTTTTAATTTTAGGTTACAATATACAAGCCACAGGGAAGTGTGGAGGATGAAAGGTTTTAGTTACAGTCATTTATGAAATTATTAATGAGTTTTACGATTAAAGACTGCTATCATTGAATAATCATGTTTACTTACAAATAAACTTAACGAGGTAATTTATAACCTGTGCATAATAGCTGACTGTACTTAGAAGACGTGTTTGTTGGTGTCATCGTAAGTTGGAAAAATGAAAACGATTTTGCATTTATGATAGAATGAACAATAATCTATTACCTCCATGTTTCCATCTTATCGTAATTGTTATAAATTTGAAACATTTTATCAGTTTAAGTAACTTCAAATTCCTGAAAGTTTTATCTATTTATCTTTCTATTTGTACTTGCCCAGTTCTAATTAATTAAAATAATTTGCATGTTGTCTTTTTTTTTAATAATTAGTTTTGCTCTTCTATATTTTCAAGGAAAGAAAAAAAACTGTAAAGATGCCTAAAATAAACAAAATTATATTATAGTTTCAAGGTTTTAATGATTTTTTTCAACAGATATGAAGGTGATTTATTGCAATATCTGGAAATGTCTTGAGTTGTTAATAATCATATATTTCTTCCTTTTTAGAAGTTGCATTAACTTAAAAATGGATATTTGTTAAATGTATGTTATTAAAATACATTAGCAGCACTATCATTAATTGTATTTATCATAAAATAAATTTTTTATGGACACACTGAAAGTGGTTTTGGTTTTCGCTGAGATGCACCTATTGTTTTATTTACCTTATTCATAATACAGAAGCCAGTTTTCAAAATGAAGACTTTATCACTTGATGTTCTGCTTGAACTGTTTCATGAAATATGAATTGAAATTAAAGTATTTTACCGATTTTTAGCTTTATAAGCCTTCAAACTTTCCGCTGAGCCACTGGGAGACATGTGATAAATACTGAAAGGAAATATCATTTTTAATCAATAACTTTAACATCATGTTAATTTAAGCAGAAATAAATAGGTTACTAAATATGTTTCAGAGGACTTAAGAAGGTCACTTACCTGACTGAGATTTGTTTCGGTTGGGAAGAGGCCCAAGTGTAGCTTACTAGTTAGCATATCGGATTGAGGATCCGAAGGTCTCGGTTTCTATACGTGGTACTACTAAACGCGCTTCACACCCTCAAATCGAGGTGAGTTATAAAAGCGACAGGCAACCTCGTTATTCAGTTAAGAGTAGACACTTCAGGCGGAGGATGCTATTGACTGTTTACCTTCCCCTGGCATGCAGTTCAAAGTTAGGGACGGCTATTCTTGGCCATAAAGGTATCTGACCTGGCCATTTAGCTCACTATGAACTTAAGGTGTCGTTCAGGTGGACAAACACCACCTTAGAACAGCGTTTCCTAAAGTGAAGGAGGGACCCCATCGGGGAGCGCAAATGATCTCTTGGAGGGGCGAGCGATTAGGAGAGGCAATAGTGCAATAATGTAAAATGAAGTGTTTTATTAATGAAAATAATAAGTGAATACTACAACACATATAATATTTTGGTGCGTATTAGGGTATCCCATCTCGTCACTTAACTCACTTTTTCACTGATTAAAAAAAAAAAAAGAAAGAGGGGTCGCGCAAGAAAGCGTCAGGGCAGTTAAAGTATGAACCTAAGGCTGACCTGAGCATCCTAGAATGAATTTCAATGTTAACTTTACACGCCATATTAATAATCACTCAAGTACAGTAAGAAGTTTATACATATTTTTTCTACAGTTATTCAAACTTGACACCAACCACTAATGTTGTTTTTTTAAGTTTATTTATTATATTAACCGACGTTTCGGTCACCATACAGTTCACCAGGGGCTGCGCCAGCGGCCAGCCTCTTCCCGTTGAAGGGACTGAGGTGGGCTACATAAAAACATACAGCACACATAGAGTAGGAAGTTAGGAAACTAACATGAAAGCGTTGTTCGTTGGTTGCAGGGGTTACATGAGAGGCTACAGCGCGTTTTAGAGTACCTTCAGCCCAAGCAAGCTCCCCTCTGTTTACCGCCCTCACTACAGTTCACCATCAGCAGGATTAACGAAAACGGTTCGTTGTAATAGAATTTACTAATCTCAAAGACATACACATTATTAGTTTACCTTATGAATATAAATTCCACTTGTAAAACGGTTTAGTTATTTCACACTAGCGTTTTACACAACAATAAGCAAATACGGTGTAATGCGTAGAGCCATATTGTGATGTTATCTCGGCTCTATTATGTTAACGTTATGAGAATTTTGTATCTTACAAGTCACTACCCACTAATATTTCCGTTCAGTGCCAGAACTCTTCAGTTGGGCTACAAGATAACAGACAAAATATTCTTTTTTTTTTATTATTATTATTATTACGTCGTTTCATTCAAGTACCAGTAAAAGAACGGGTCGGTCAGTAAAAGGTATTGTTGCGCCCTCTCATCGGCCAGAAGAAATAATCCAAGTTTTAGGAAACTGGTGGTACGAAATAGTACTGCATATATATTGTTTAATAAAAATTTTAAGCCTATTGCTTTTTCTAATATTTCACTGGATTTCGGTGTTTAAATCTTAACTTTAATGTTTTATACTGTATATATATATATATATATATAAAAGCGTATCATAAAAGGTCTTGTCTCTCATCATTCAGTCGAACTGATGAGTTCTTTTATTGAACAAAAAGTTCATTTATCAGTGACTTATGACAGATAAAAAACAGATCTGAAATGCTACTGTTACACAGCATTGATTTTGAGCCACAACTGACAAATTAAGAAGAATGTGGGAAAAACATATGTAGTTAACTTGCTTTTATAACATATTTTAGGCCTATTTATTTTCCAATATTTTGCTGCATTTTTGGCGTTTAAATTTTGATAAGTTATTTCGTTTATCTATTTTGTTCGAATGCGATAAACGTAACAATAATATTCAATAAATAAGGAATTGTGTCACATTTGATTCTCCAGAGCAATTTGTCGTCTCCTGCCATACTCTTTAAACGTAATAATAAACCTTATGTATTGTCAGATAATAACATTTCTGCAGCATTCAAAAAAATACAATGTAACACGAACACGTTTTGAAGAATGCAAAAAAATGCCTAAAGAAATTATAAAAAATCTCCCAGATCTGTGGTTTGGTCTAAACGAAATATATCTAATCACATTATTCCTCATACTACTTTACTGATCTGCATTGTAATACTGATCTAGTTTGTAATACTTTCTATTCCAAGGTATTTTAACTTTTCCTTTAGCTATGTGCTAATTTGATCTACATTAGTAGGTGTTCACACCAGATGCTGTGAGGCTGCAAAATAGGTAGATCGGGAGACTGCATTTATAAAGTAATTTAAAGAGAAGGAAAACCACAAGAGTTTTTAGTTTCTTCATCAAATGCAAACCTATGCTTGGCGATGGGGAGAAAAATTTTTAAACAAATTATAATTGTATTTGTTAAAGGTGAAGCTCCTCACAGCTCCGTAGAAATGTAAATATGAAAATGCTTTTCATTTGCTTTGCGAATTACATAAAATAAATGTATAAAAATATCATTTCGACAGATACCTGTTTGAGCAAATACAGCTTGATTTCTGAACTTAAAACGGCGTGTTCGGTGCATCAGTTCTATCACTGTCGCGAGATGGTGAAAATGCACTAAACTCCATTCATAGCACAACACGAAACACCACTTGCTCATTCAGAGGTATTGCAATCTTTTTCTCAACATGCATGCAGTCCAGTGTTGATGAATTCAATCTGTTCAGCATTAGATGGTCTTTCTGTACTAGATTCATTACTAAGAAATAATTATCATCATTCAGTAAGTGACAGTGACAGACAAACCCAGAGACATGGCTCTCTACTCACTCCTAGCTTTTCACCTTTTGCCAGAATGAAGTTCATGTTAAATGACCATTGTGATGGCCTCACTCACAAATTTTGATACGTGGCAAGATCCCAACTACTCCAGACTCCACTAGAAACTCAACATCACCTCCAAGAATTCTAACCTGTATATACCATTTAATACCAAGCCAATGTCTGTTCAATCAGCCACCA